CCCGTCCTGCTGTCCCGCTTCTCTCTCTGCTGCTCTCCTCTCTGGGCCATATCCCTCCAGCGTCTCAGACCCCGGTGGTCCCTGGTCCAGACGCGGGGCAAGGACCGAAGATAAGATCACTTCTCGTCCCCTCTGGGAGGTTAGACTCCAGAATGTCCTTCAACCTGCCACTCAGCCCCGGCCCCGGCCCTGGGCTTAGAGGCTCCCTCAGCCGGAGATGCCACCCACTGTCCCCTCTGCTCCCTGTCACTGAGTCCCAGCGCACCTTGCTTCGGGCACATCGGCATCCTCAGGAACAGCCCACATCCCGTGAGACCTGACACCAAAGTGGCCAGTCGGCGGTTCCGCTGGACGATTCCCCGTGTCCCGGAAATGGGCTCTGCATCCCAATCCCGCCAGGCTTGCCTGCTTAAGTTTCAGAGCCTGACAGGGAACAGGGCACTGGTGTGTCCTTCCGTGTGCTGGTGCTCCGTTCAGAGGCCCAGTGGTCCCACACAAGCAAGCGTCAGAAATACAAAAAGAATTTGCTGCCGTGTCGAGGAGCCTCTTCGGCAGCCGTTTCAAATGTGTTCACATCCCCAGGTCCCTCCTCCTTAGCAGAAGACACAGCAGGTGGGGAATTCTAGGCACTTCATGGAGCTAACACCTTCCACTCACAGCATTTAGACGGCCAGCCAGCCAAACGGACAGAGGGATGACGCAAACGCTTATTTACTCGTGAGACAAAGGAACAACAAGTGCTATCCAGGGCATTTCTTCCAAGGAAAGGAAACCTCTCCTATGCCCATGAATATTTTAATTCAAAAAGGAAGGACCTGAAGAAACTAACATATTCATCAAAATCACTCTTGAATTGCTACGCGGAAGCCCTGCCTCCCTCTCACCGGGGCGCACAAGGGCTGAAAAGAAAACGCCCATCAGTGGGGTGTTTACGGATCACACATCTAGTAACGACTCAAGAGCTCCACGCCTGCCCTCTCGAGGGGCCCAACCACCACGTACACGAGGCAAGCGTGAGCCCCACGCAGCCGACACCACCGTCAGCTGCCACATCCAGTGTCCACGCTTGCCCACTCTTGAGATGACGCGATGGCGTAAGCCAGAAAAGCCACTCATTTGGTCCACAGGACAGCTGACGACGTCCTTGGTGAGGAGCCCAGACAAACACGCACACACACACCCAGCCTGCGTGCAAACGCAGCCTTCCCTGAGTCCTAACAAGGCTGGTTTTTGCTTATCAGAAGACACTATCTTCAGAGAATTTTGTTTTGTTTGGGAGTCATCTCCGTCAGTCACGCCATGACGAAAGACGCTAGAGACAGATCCACGCTGAGGAAGTGCAAAGCCCTCGCCAGGCCACGGCCAAGTCACTAATGCATGGAGGTCACTGAGGCGTCTCTGGTTGTTAGAAACCAACGATGGTTGGGAATGCAAGCTGGGGCAGCCAGTCTGGAAAACAGTATGGAGGTTCCTCAAAAAACTAAAAACAGAAGTACCCTGCGACCCAGCAATTGCACTACTAGGCATTTATCCAAGGGATACAGGTGTGCTGTTTCGAAGGGACACATGCACCCCCATGTCTATAGCAGCACTATCGACAATAGCCAAAGGATGGAAAGAGCCCAAATGTCCATCGGTGGATGAATGGATAAAGGAGATGTGGTATATATATATGTGTGTGTGTATGTGTATGTGTGTGTACACACACACATACATACATACAGTGGAGTATTACTCGGCAATCAGAAAGAATGAAATCGTGCCATTTGCAACTACGTGGATGGAACTGGAGGGTATTATGCTAAGCGAAATTAGAGAAAGACAAAAATCGTATGGCTTCACTCCTATGAGGACTTTAAGAGACAAAACAGACGAACATAAGGGAAGGGAAACAAAAATAATATAAAACCAGGGAGGAGAACAAAACAGCAGAGACTCTTAAATACGGAGAACAAACAGAGGGTGACTGGAGGGGAGGGGGAGAGGGGGGATGG